TTTTTTCTTTTCCCAGTGCTGGGAATCAACCAGGGCCTCATGCATGCTAGGCAAGCACTGTGCCACTGAGTTACACCCCCTGCCATCTATGCAGATCTTAAATTTATTTTGCAGCTCATTTTATAGCACTGGAAGTGGTGAGTCAAGGGAACAGGCATATTTTATTTTGGTAAATGTTGCTAAATTTTTCTCAGCAAAAGTAGCACCAATTTACATCCCTAAAACAGTGCCTAAGAAGGCCTATGACTACATCATGACCACCACTGGGTACTCCCTAATTTTTACCAGTCGAATAGGTTTAAAAAATTGAATCTTTTTTCTTCAATTTATAGTGAAATAGATTTTTTATGAATGAAATTGATTATTTCATATTTATGGTTTGTGTACTTGACTGAGTTACATTACCTAATTTTTATTGGAGTTTTCAGTACTTTTTAATTGAAATGTAAGGCTTTTTATAAATTAAGGACATTAGACCTTCATAATACAAGTTTAATATGTATTATCTTGGTTTGATATAATTTAATTTTTTTCAGTATTTATTATTATCATTCTTTTGCTTGCTGTAGAAACATTGAACTTTGGTGCTAGGGAACTGAACCCTTGCTCAGCAGGTTTTGTACCACTGAGTTACACTCCAGGGAGCATTTTTAATTAGCTATAATGATCAATATTTTCATCTGTTGGCATCTGGTTATTTTACYGCATCCAATTTCGAAAGCCCTCTTTAATTTTAAATTTGTAAATAAATTCACTTGTCTTTTTTCTTCCACTCATCTGTTGTTGATAGTTCATTTTTAACATTGATAACTTATCTTAGAATTTATTTGTTGTAAAGAATGGGATGAGGAGCTCTCAATCTTGAATTATTTTTTCCCAGTAGCTCTGCAGTTGTTCCTACCCCATTTCTATGAATAAGCAAATAGAAGAAATGACCACAGTTCAAGGAAGGAAGTAATTGATACACTGGTTAGTGCTAATGGTCCTTGTTTGCCACAATCAGTCCTCCTATCAACAGTGGGGGTAGAATTCTTTCTATTTTATTTAAAGACTCCACAAATATAGGGCTAGTTAGAGATGAAGATGAGATATGAATTTGGATCTGACTTGGTCCAGGTATTCTGGAAAGCTTTCCACAAGGTCTGACCTTGCCCCTAGAAGGGGGCAAGATTTGGCAGTGTGGGAGAAAGCTCTGCATCTGGGGCTGAAGCATGCAGATGGGAAGGGTGTCACATGCATGAGTCACAGTCAAGGTGGCCAGCAGTGGAGTAAACCAAAAGAGAAGGGGAGAGATGAGGATGGGAGGCTGGAGAAGTAAACTGCAGCCAGATTTTGAAAGTCTTCAAAGCCAGGCTAAGGAAGTTGGACTTTATCACAGCAAAGTATTTTCTTATGTATGTGTGTGTGTTTCTGTGTGTGTGTGCACGCGCATATGTGTTGTTTTGTTGGACCCCCTCTGAAAAAAATATTTAAATCTTAAGGGAAATTTCAAAATGTAAAAGGGAAGAGGAGGCCAGATTTGCTCATAGAACACCTTCCCTCTCCTCATAATGGTTGTGTTGAGGTGGATAACACTTGGCTTTGGACTGAGTTCRATCTTGGTTCATATCTAATCTTCAGTGACTGCCTGTGAGAGGTTTTGCAAGCAGCAGTGGCTCCTGCAGAAACACCTGGCACAGGTAATTATAGAGACTTCAAGGATTCCCAAAACAACTAGGGACAAAAGGGCCTTAGTTGTGTGGATGCAGAAATGATAACTAAAATGCCAGCCAGCCTTTCTGAATAGCACTATGTACCGGGGTTCTGAAAATGCTTGACAACATCACCTCACCTAACCCTCCTGAAAAGTCCTACACAATCTTATCACCATTCTAGGGATGTGGAAACTAAAATTGAAGTGCAATAACTGCAGGTCTAACAAGTGAAGGAGTGTCATGGTTTGAAATAAAGATCAGCAGTAGGCCTCATAAAATTATTTAGCTCAGATTTTAATGGAGTTCAGAAAATCTGACCACAATGATGCACCAGGGCATCTCATTCAACTAGGTCAGAAAGCTGCCAGGTTTTGTAGTTTGGAATCGGAAAACATTTCACATAAAGGAAATTTGCCCAAAATATATTAGGAAATGCTCTACTTCTAAGAATGATTGTGAGTCATTTGGTCAGTGTTCCTCTTATGTGATGAACCCAGTGAGTTATTGTTTCTTAGTCATAGAGTCTTGGTCCTGACGGCGCCTTAACATTTATTAAGCTAACATCCTCATTTCCCAACAAATTACCATGTTGAGCCTCACTTCCCCACAAACTACTATGTTAAAAATATATTCTGTCCCTGAAAAACAAATTATTTGAAATTCCAAATATTTCTAGTCAACAACAATGTTTAAAAATTGAATTTAAAAAATACAGAGAGTCACAAAGTCATCTATAGAATGTGAGTATAAAATTAGAATCGGAAAGATAGCTTTGGTAGTTTAGTGTCATTACCAATGGACATATTTTACTTTATGCACACTATTGGCTGTACACTCTGAATTAGTTCTTTTGGTGTCTTTATCTAGAACTACTCATATATAATGGCATTGAATATTTGTTAAATCAATATATAATCCTGTATTTAGCAGCACCTTACACAGAACTAGAAAATTATTTCTTCAGAATTTAGCATTTTATATTTTATCTTACACTGAGGAATTGGTTATTCATTTGGTCAATACATAAGATACAACTGGATGATATGGCTAAAGTTATGTTTTGTGATGTTAGTTCAGTGGGTTTTTTTGAAATTAATATATTAGGCATGAGAAAAATGGAGGAACTTTGCGCAAGGTGGTGGGAGGTTGGGGAGGGTGCATGGGGGCAGGAAAGATGGTGGAATGGACATCATTACCCTAGGTACATAAGAATGCACATGAGATGTGACACTACATCATGTACAGCCAGAGAAATGAAAAGTTGTGCTGCAACTGTGTACTATGAATC